ACCAGTTTTTTTGTAAAGTCTTTCAAGTTGCCGCCCTTTTGCAACCATTTACTCGTAGTGTTTGGGTCCAGAATGACAGGACTATAGTGAGCATTTTCCTCAGAATAATCTATAGAATCCTCAATGTGTCAAATAATCATCAGCTGCCTGCAGCTGTACTCTAGTTTCTAGCAGATCAGGAAGCTTCTACCAGGTTATTAAACACTGCAGGTGGCAGGGCTGCAGCTCCTGCCGTCCTCTTCCTGGGGACAGCAGTGGAAGGAGAAGCTGCTTCACTCAGAAAAATAAAACAACTTGATTTAGCACAGTCGAAGTAATCAGAACTGGATTTTATTACACTAAACTGGAATGTGTTGCATTTCATAAGTTTTGAATTGATTAGTGAGGTCCCAGTTTGAGCTGAGTGCTTTTATTTTTGAGCATGTACTTCCTGTCCTTTGCAGCTGTAGCAGCAGGTAGTTTATTGTGCACAAGTACAGCAAGTTCAACTCAGAGCCACGGTACCATTGGTGGTTCTGGACCAACATGACCAACTTTACCAATGAAAAAAAAAACAAACATGGAAAAAGTTCATGATTTACAAAATTAAGTGTACTCTGGAAGCGGCCACCAGCCCAGTTCATCAGACGGACTAACTTTACTCTCTAAGTTCTAAAAAAAAACCTTTAGATTCGCTGTATGATCTCAGTATTAAATGTAGAGTTGATGTTTAACCAGGATGATAAGATGTTGATTATCACAATCAGAGCTGGACATTGACTTCTGTACAGATACAACTTCCTGCACTTTTAGCTTTATTATCCTCCATCATGGAGGAGCTGCAGGAGCTCTGCAGATTGACAGAAACTAGAACATGAGGACTCTGGACCCAGCTACGAGTCCTTAGTTCAGACCCAACACTCCCCAGGTGACCTCAATGGCCAATGCAGTGGGAGGGATCAGAGCCACTTTTTGTTCCCCCTAAATCTTTGTTAGACCTACAGGATATTAATTTTAGTTCTCCCCACCATCAGTTAGAACTGAAGAAGCCTCTTGGATGAGAGGCAAAACATATTCCAGAAAACTTCATATCGAATTGCATAAACTGAAAATTTTCAAGCTCTGGATCCAGTTCTGTACTTGATTAGTTTGGGACACTGACATGTTTTAGCTGTGAAATGAATACGAAGCATAGGAACAAAAACAGACAAATATAAAAGCATCCTGTGTTGGTTAGACTGGATTAATCTGCTGTTTGAAAATCGCTCCCGCAAAGTGGTGGCTGGTCTTGCTAGTCTACCTAAAATTACAGTGTATAAATAACATCAAAATGTAATAAAATCCATTACAATTTTAAAAAATACAAAAAAAAATACACAAACATGATAAGATATACACATTAAGATTGAATAAAATAGACCCAAAATATTCTCTATAATTTGCATAAAAATAAAAAGATTTACATGTATACAGTATAAAACAGTCCAAACCCAAATCATTGTCACAATAGCCCTGCTAAGTAATCTTTGATGTTTCTTTTAAAAGACAGTTCATTCTCTAGGAATTTTTTAATTGAAGACAATTACACACATTTTCACCTCTTTGAAAAACAGTCCTTATCATGCGATTAGAATAGACTTATTCTTTATACACATTAGAGAATTCAGTGTTTTCCACAGTTATTGAGCTGCAGTGAACAGGACTTTTCCTTTGCACACTGTCACTATTCAGCGACCAGCAGTTATCCTTGTTGATAAAAATAATTGTTGCTCAAAATAATTCTTAGTTGATTTACTGAAGTTATTTAAAAAAAAAAAATATGATTTGAAATCCTAGTCCACAAGCATCCTCAGTCACCTGTTTTCACGTTAGTAATATATGTTTACATTATTTATTGACTGCATCTAAAAATATCAAAAATATTTTCAATTTAAACATAGATATTAAATAATAGAATATAAGCTACAGTAAATCAAAATATATAATTGTACTAAGTCATCAAATTAATTCATTTTACTCTGTTAAATAAACTGCCTGTACTGTCTTTAAATGTCCAGCAGGTGTCAGTATTCTGAGACAGTATCAATGCAGGATCAATACAGTTTGGCAATGTGTCCAAACGCTTCAAGATGCTTCATTAACCCATCACTAGCTGGACCCATCACTATCCCTGCCAGAACGTCTCACTCTTTTCATTGCTCTTCCCATGCGATTTGCCTTTGCTTTACTAGCTTTACTGGCAGCTGGACTCTCCTGCTAAGGTCGCCTGTGTCTGCATGCTGCAGTTGAGCCTGTTTCCTTCAGTACCAGATCCTGTGTGCCTTGCCAGCTGGATTCTGCAAGTTGAGGTTGCCTAAAGGTCTCCCTGCTACAGAGTTTCCTGTTCCTTTGTGAGTCTAAGCTGCTTGCTTGCCCATTTCTGGTGGTTCTCCTGTCCACATGGCCTGTTGGTTCTGTGTGCGCCTACATCTCCGGGTTCTCTGCTCATCCCTGCAAAGCTACGGAGCCCCTCTGATGACATGGTCAAAAAAATGTTTTAATTGTGGCCACAAAGTAGTATTTCGAAATACTAATATTAATATCATTCCTGGACAACTGGGTGAGCAAATCGAGCGTGCCTTAGACCTTAGAGAAGGCGCGCTCGACCAGTCGGTCTCCGCCAGTCACGTGACATTTGTTGCTAAGACGCCATTTTAGTGTCGGGATCCTCAGGCTTGCCCACCAGAGGGCGCCAAGGATCCTCTTCTGCTCCTTGTCTTTTCTAAGGTTCTGGAGATTACCCTTTGCCTCCAGCAGAGTGCGCCGTGGGTCCTCCTGAGCTGAGCCTCCCACACACCTGTGGCTGATCTACTAATCAGGAGGACCACAGTATATAAGCTGACTTCAGACCTTGATTCCACGCCGCAGTGTTGATCTTAGTTGGTTAGCTTCCTGAACCTTCTGCTATTGACTGAGTCTTGGTTGTTCCTTAGGTCAAGACCAGATTCTAATATCTTCTTTATCTCTGCCTCACAGGAATCCTGTCTCTTGGTGAAAGCTCTGGATGAGCTTAACCACCTGTC